TCACCGGAAGTACGCAATATACACGTGACTGAGGCCCTGTTAGGGTAAATTTTAGGCCTCGATAATTTGGGACCGTTATTCGGAAGGTAGCCAAATATTCTCATATTAAAGATTTGATCCCTAGTCCCTCTCTGTCTGAAACCCGCCTGTGCTTCATGTAGCTCATATTGTAGTTTGCTATCAATCCTCTTCATGATAATTCGTAGAAGGATTGTGCTTGCGTGACTTATTAATGTGATAGCACGGTAGTTGGAACATAGTTTCAGATTTCCCTTTTTGTGAAACGGATATAGATTGTCCTTTTCCATGCTTTAGACCAAATGGCGCTGTTCCAGATCTTTGCGCAAAGTGCATGGTAAATAGTAGAAGCCGCTAATAATCCATATATTTTGAGGGCGGCTGGGTAGCCCGGGTTGGCTGGGTAGCCGCCCTAAAAAGATATTGATTATTAGCGGCTATTACTACTGACAGAGCTCATCAACAAACGTTACATCTCGCCCCGACACTTCACTGAGGTACAAGGTGGACGAGAAGAAAAAGGTTTGGACTTTTTTTCTATGCCAACTGTTTAGTCTTATTATCGCATTCCCTATTTGATCACTTCTGGTCAAAGTGGTAAATGCAGGCAGTAAGTAAAGTTTAAAAAAAAAAACTTTTCCATTTTAAATTCGAGTCTACCATTACACACCTCGTGTGTCAATGATGTCTTTTTTTCATTCGTCTGAGTGATATAAATGTGCTGTGTCTGTTCACAGCAGAGCTGCGATATTTGCGCCTTTCGGCCGACACATCCGACTTCATAAAGTTTTTGTTGACCAGGTTAACTTCCTGGATTGTCTCATGCGACACGGACATATTGTTTATGTGCTGTTATTTGTGTTTTCTTAACTACAGGTCTTACGCCTGGAGACCCTTCCAAAGGGCAACCAGGGACAGATCAGGGCATTCCCTGCCATCCAAGGAGGCGTCCATAAATGCAGAGCCGACACATGACGCGCTGGTTATGGGCTCACCCAAGGAATCATCACGCTCAACACATGACTGTTTAACCTCAGATCTGTTGAGCTTTCCAGTCGTCACTCGCTGCGCCCTCTGGAGATCAGCATTGAGCAGCCAGCAGGTCTGGGACTTCGATATCCACGCAAATAGGTACACCTTTGTGTAACATGGAAACTTAGCAGAGCAGTAAGACAATCCATGCATCCAGCATGGCTCCCCCATTTAGGTCCCATACTATGGCCAAGGGGGCTAATGGTAACGTGAACCTTTCTGCCGATGAGCAGGACTTTTTTGTCCGACATTCATGACTTTCTTTCTGTGCCATAGGACATATTAGACGGACATTTTTGCTAGACCAGCTTACTGACAGTGGCAGATCGTTGTGGTATACCTCGGCGTTTTAAACAGGTTGTCATTTAGTAGTATGTTTAGCTTTACTCATTTTCCAAATAAGCTTTGATGGACGTTGAGTTGAGTCAAGAACCGACCTCACAGCACTCGGGACATTACCATGAGAGCTCCTGTCCCATCTTCAGCAGCCAGCGCAGAGTTCCTATACCAGTGGCATTCTGATTAAACGACCGTCTCGCCTTTCCTCTGAGCCTCGATTATCGGCCAAACCCCTCGTCACTCACCCCTGCAACAATCTCACCAGACTGTGGTGTTCCATCTGCTCCTCCGAACTGCACACCCTCTCCCACAAGGCCCCAACCTCGTCTGCCTTATCAGGCATCAATATTATACTAAATGGTGCAGAGCCACCGATGTGTCCTGGAAACAAAATCAAGACAATACTCTTCACTCGTACCCTCCGCAGTGAAGCAGGCCACACTGCATGAAGCATACATGTCTTGACCTTCCTCAGCATGTTATGAGTCAGTTACAATCACGATGCGCGCGCGCGTTTTGTGTGTGTCGTGTTCTCTAACCAGTGGAAAGCTGCAGTCACCGCCTCCATCTCCATTCTTAAGCTAGGTATTGTGGTATCATACGCTAGGCTCTCCTGCATCAAATGTCGACCATTAACCATTGCTAAAAAAAAAAAAAAAAAAACAAGCACTTCGTTTGCCTCTTGACACTGAACCGTATGAATAAATAATCACATCCTCTGAGCGAGTATTATCTTGAATTAATTGCTGAATTTTCACCTCCGCGGCACCGGCTGGCCAGTCTCTGCATTCCCGAATCAATGTGATTATGACTACGCAAGTCTGACTGTTCAGCTGGCACCTTGACCCCTCCTCTCCTCATGGTCTTCAGGGTGCAGGCCTGTCTGATTTGTGTCTTCTGTCTGAGCCATCTATGACTTCCCTCTTATCAACCGCTGACCATTAACTGTGCCCAAAGCTTCGTACAAAGGGTGATCTATGTCTGCAGTTACCTTAAGGTATGATTTCGCCTGCAGCACCTTGTGCCTACCTGCACAGTCGGCAAGCCAAGGATGTATCGCATACACACCACTGGGATGTCTCTGGTGCAACCGAGAATGACCCGCATAGCTGCGTTCTGTATGCGCTATAGTTTGTTTATCAGACTCTTTGAGACAGTAAGCAGTCCCAAGCCATAATTAATTAGTGACATGATCAAATACTGATAGTGTGAAAAGCATTGTCTGCTCTGACTTTTGCAGCGATAGGAGCAAGTGCACCGAGTCCTTTTTGGCATCTTGCCACAACACTCTTCAGATATTCCTTTAAGGACAGGCTCCTGTCAAATGTGATTCTGAGATACTTCAGTTTGCTCTCTTTGTTGACGTTTGTACTATCTATTGTGAGACTTGGGACATCAGCTCTAACGATCCTGTTGTCTAGACAACATTACAAAACAGACGCCTTTTCCGGCTGGGCGACAAACCTCATTTCTGTACACCACTCAGTCACCTTGTCTACTGTTGATTGTAGCTCCCCGTTTGTTTGTTCCCTCTCTTCCCCCTGCCTATATGCAAGTGTATCATCCGTAAAAGTCAGTATCCTTCCAACTCCTGGTGCTTCTAGGCTTGCAGTCTTGCTCGTATACACGTTGAAGAGCACAGGCAAGATGGCTGATCCCTGTGGCTTTTAAGTATTTGTTTAGCTGAGGAAGATCAGAACAGGTATGCTTCATGCAGAGTGGCATGCTTCGCTGCAGAGGACACGAGTGAGGAGTATTGTCTTGATTTTTTCACCAGGTCACGCCGGTGTGTTGGGAAATGAACAGGCGGACAGACTTGCACAACTTGGTGGAATACTGATACATGATAGGGCAGACGTGGTTAGTGCCTTGTGGGAGAGCATGTACAGTTCGGAGGAGCAGATGGATCACCAGTCTGGTGAGATTGATGCAGTTGGGGGTGACGAGAGGTTCTGGCAGATGCTCGAGGCTCAGAGGAAAGACAAGAGGGACGTTTAATCAAAATTCTACTGGCACCATTAGTGTCGGAACTCTTCGCTGGCTGCTGAAGATGGCGACGGAGCGCTTATGGGAATGCTCCGAGTGCTGTGATGTCGGTTCTTGAATCAAATGAAATCAAATACCTGCAAGATTATTTATGGCATTCTGTTCTCATGTATCCATCTCAAAGTATTGTCTCGTCCATGACCTCCTTACATACATCTTTTTAACATAGCAGAGGTCGATCTCAAGATCATCTTCTGTCAATTATTATCTTTTAATGCTCAAGAAAAAATTGTAGTTTTTCAGCATTAGTCCCATACTGTCATAATTTTTTTCTTTGACATCTGATGCTCCCAGCACCTATCTCTAGGCCCCATTGGGGAAAGGGAGAAGGATAATTAGGAACCCTCCTCCACTAAGTTGGACACATGCACCCTTGGAGGTGAGGAACCAACCATCTGCTTACAAATGAGCAGATCTGTAGAACAGATGTGCACGATACAAATTCAAATCCTAGTAAAAGTTAATGAACAGCCAGAACTTTCCACTAGTTGTCACTGAAAGTTACTTAGCCATTTTTCCTGGTACTGTTAAATACACATCAATATTAAAGTGACTAACTCAATCAATTGATGGCAACATATTTTATTATTAAAATGTCATTTCAAATTTTTTCAGACAAGCTAACAAAAAGATTTTTTAAAACAATAAAGCTGTGAACTGAATTTGAACCAGTAAGTTGTTATGCATTTGGCAATCTTAACTGTATATACTAAAACACAGCATGCATCAGTATATTCTACCTAATATATCTTAAACACCCCACCACGCTCCCCAACTCTAAAAAGTTGGCAGGTAAAAATACACTGATCCTCTTTAGTGTACATCATGAATGGTGCAGCCAGATTTTTACTCCAATATTCTACTTTACCGGTTCCATGTCATCTACAGCAGTGAATTTTTAACCTTTTTTGCATCCCCGGACCAGTAAAACAGGAGAAATTGTGTTGGGGACTGCCTGACAGCTAACAAAGAAAATGCTTATACTTCAGGTGCCAAACTGTCACGTGCAGCAGCTCACTGGCTATGCAGCAATATAGTGCCTGATTCATTGGGCCGCTACATCAGGTGCCCCACCAGGACACAGCGGCTAAAGAACGTTGATCTGCGGGGTACCTTTGATTTTATTTCGCAACAATATTGTCTGCCTAGAAAACAACATGTAATCCGAGTTCCTCGTTTAATATTATTTCATCATTTTTGGTTGCAGAGGCACAGATAGATCATTACAGTCTGAGAAGAATGGCGCTGCGAGGTGTTACCAGGGGATCTGGTGGACGCTCAACACTCAGGGGGAAAATGAGACAGATATACATCCAGAGTTACTGGTGCCATCAGAATTTAAACTCTTCGTTTGCTGCTGGAGATGGGGACAGAGCACCTATGGGAGTGATCGGAGTGCTGTGATGTTGATTCTTAATTCAACATTCAAAACTATTTTCCACGGTAAGAAACTTTATAAATTTTGAAATAATCCTATTAATTTATTTACTGAACCTGGACGATGGAAAAAATGAAAGATACCAACCCCATAAAGAAATAATTTTCATCAATAATAAATAAAATGTCTATGGTTGTTGAACTTGTGACTGGATAAGAGAGACATTTTCAAAGTTGGCCTCCAGGCCAGCTAGATTATTTTGCCAGGCTGCAAGGTGTTGTCGGATTATCTGTTAGGAAAAGAAACACACAAGTGAGAATATAGCAAGCTTGCACATCTATTTGCTATCTATACAGAAAATATAAACTTCTTAACATGAACAACTACAATCTAAATATTACTAGTGTGTTCTTCAGAGGACACTGCATTACAGCCAGCCTAAAATGACACCTTCTCTGGAGCAATTCTCCCTCTAACCTCTTCTTAAAGTCCACGTATTGGTAGCCATGTCGATCGACAATCTTCTTCAATCAACTGTGATACAGATGATCCCCCATGCCATGATGTCAACCTATCCAGCATTTTTTCTCTGTCTCTCTTCCCCTCCAACTTTTCTTCTCATCTCATCCACTGCTACACCTAATGTTTCCTTTTACAACCCAAAGACTTTTTCTGCCCTACATCCAAGAACTGGCACAAAAGCAAGAGGGCACTCAAAGAGAAGATAGGTTGCTGACATTAGAAGTTCTACATCGACACAGAATGACAACAGTCAGTGCTGTCTGCTCGCAGTTTGCTCCTCCTCCATGGTGATAAATGAAAAAAGTGGAACAGACTATGATGACCCCATATTTGCTCTGTCTAATTCCTTCAGATATTAACAATGTACTGCTTTTAAGATCAACTTACTGAGATAAAATGAGTAATAAGGTTCAGTCAACATCTTTTCAAAGTGCAGAATAGCACTCTCAAATCAGTGCTTACACATTTCCTTCTCAGGATCACTAAAGAATCTTCAACGTAGAGGTTATGGCAATAAAGCCTAGACACTCCAAAAAACAGTCGACAAGTCTTTGGAAAACTGTCTTACGTGCTCCCTGTCATGTAATATATTTAATGTGCAACTTAGCTGTCTAATATCTATCTAATATTTTCTGGTTACAGCCCTAGCCAAGCCTCTACCTGTCCGAAACAAATATTAAACCAGTACCACAAGTGACTCAGAACTTCTGTCAGGACTTATGCAAATATTTCTAGGAGAGACCTCAACCAAGTTAGGCAAGTTTGTGTATTCCTGTTTCCAACTGTATCCTTGTTTATGTTATATGGTGACGACACCCTACATTCATTTGCTGTATGTGATTGTTGTTGCATTACTGAAGTAATTCGGGTCAGCAGAATTCCTAGTCCGCTACACATCGTGTTGAATGGTACTTGTCTGAAGCAAGTTAAAGCATTTTAACATCTAGGAAGTATATTCTCGGAGGACGGGAGAATTAGATCAGGAAATAAATAAAAAAAAGATGCCAATAAGCCATGCACTTACATACCAATGACACCATTATTAGGACATCCAAACATAAGTATGAACACCAGGAAACATTATAAACAGCATACTCGTACAATCATTGTGCTACCAGTGCCAGATTTAAACATCAAAAGCTAACCTACATAAAATTAACACCTGCGAAAAGCTGCCAACTTAACCACCCGAGACAAAGTTAAAAATTATATTATCAGTCAGACTATAGGAACAACACAATGCAGCAAATACAATGAGAAACAGAAGATCAAATGGTTTGGTCACATAGTAAAAATGCAGCCAGAACTACTACGTAATCTAGCCATATACTTGAAAAGATTTAAAGTAAAAGCAAAAGGTTGCCCAAAGAGAACATGGATTGATGAAATTACAGAACTACATTGACACAGAATGACAATAGCCAATGCTGCCCATCAAGCAATAGATCGCAAACCGTTCCTCCCTAAACGCTTAAAGGCAGAAGTGGAAACTGATGATGATGATGACCACTGTCATTATGTGAAGCTGACTAGGTCGACTTCTCACTTGTTATATCTTTTATTGTAAAGTAACAACTGCTCGACACTGAAGGAGTTAATATGGCCAACTTACCTGCCAGTGATGCTTGCTGAAGGTCCTGAATGTTGTGGAGTTAATGAGAACTTTCTCTTGAATCTGATCTATCCTTGCTTTCACAGATTTGGTCCTCAACACTAGAACGAGAACATGAAAGCTTACATACTGCTGTATACACCAGTGTGGGTGTGCAAAACAAAATAAATCAAATATGGTAAACGATTTGGAAAAAAGTATTTGTTAGCTTTACATGATAAATTAAAATGAACAAAATGTTGCAGAGACAAGACTTCATCTGCAAATTAAAACAAAACAGCAATTTTTTGTTGATGAAAGGCTGCTGCCGCAACATCCTTTGTTTACTGTAATGTGTTCTTTATTTCTGTACCATGCAAAACACTGTAAGTTCATTGTTGAGTCCAAAGACAGCACAATTACTGACACTCTTCTAGAATTTTACATTAATCCATGCTACCATACCTGCTAGTCTAGTCCCTTTCTCACAGGGTGTTATTTTTAACTTAATCAAACAGAGGCATCTGTTGCTTCAATCTAAAGTTCAGGCAATAAAAACAAACTGCTAAGTGGTACTGATTCATGCAGTTAACTATTTCAGTATTTGCCACACACATTCATAACAGCAAATAATAAAATAGTATAAATCCACGACTGCATATTACTTACAGGAACTCAACAACATATACACACTTCACAAGCCACACACAACGAAACTGAATCACTGAACATAATAGATTTACTGAAGTCAACTATTTGAATATTTGCCGCACACATTCAAAACAGCAAATAATAAAATAGTTTAAATCTATGACTGCACATTACATTCATGAACTCACTAACATATACACACTTCACAAGCTACATACAACAGAACTTAATCACTGAACATAACAGATTTACTGACCATCAATAACAAATTCCTCAACTTGATCTTTGTCCATCTGCATTTCTTCCTGTATGACACTGAAATCCATCTCCTTGCGGTTCTCGCACATCTGCATAAATGTCAGAAATCTCATCTTCCGCAGGTTCTCCTCGTGTGAGGGGCCTAAACAAATTTTTTTTAAAAAGGTAAAAGAAAGGTACATGATGCTACAGAATAAGTTTAAAGTGTCTGGGCTTCTTAAATTCTAGGTTATCATACTTCTTTACATTATGCCATAACACTGGCTGTTCAATAATATATGTCCACATACAACCAAAGTACATCAACAAGCATTTTGTTGGGGTACATCTTTCTGGATAAAGAATCTTGAAGGAAAATGAAATTTAAGTGGGAAGCACTTAAACTTGCTGGCACATTCCTGTCTTTTTTTTTTTATATGATGGTATTACATTGTGCTACAGGGAAATGAAGAAATCACAACCCCTTGTCAAAAGCAAGATGTTCCAAAAGTGTGAGGGATTTCAAGGCCACTGTTGTTATTGCATGCTTTCTTAAATTCCACATCCCCCCCCCCCTGCTCATTATATTTTCTCAATTTTTGAAACATTCACATCCTGTTTACGCAAGTACACGTGTACACTGAAGGGCAATCTTACACAAACCAAACAGTAAACCTCTTTAGAATAACACTTTACAAATTACTTATAAATCTTGTAATGATATCTTTTAGAAAGGACGGGTAAATCTCATTTGAATGATTCTTTACAAACCAAACAGTAAATCTTGTATGGAGGGTAAAGCTGCACACATGATGAATATGACAGCCAGGCAATCGAATGTGAAATGAAATAATGGGAAAACTCACCTAATGAGTTGATAAAGTCAGTATGATTTTTGTAAAACTGTTGATACTGTCCAAGTTTTCCAGAGACAAATATTGTCAGTAGCTGCAATAAAAAAATTAGTTCCATTAAGAAACTAACACAAAAAAAAGACTCCCAACTATATTGAAATCTATAACATGTGATATAAAACTATGCAATTTGAACACTGAACTGAACATAATGCATCTGGTTAAGAATCATTTTCAGGGAATTTAGATTTCTCTATAATTGCTCTAATCAAGTACTCCCAGTCATCTCCACATAAACGTTCAAGTATTTGACACAGAACACGGTGGGAGAAACTCTACTCACGTTACACAGTATGGCGAGGATCCAACTGCGTGTACATCAGAATTAGATCAGTGATAAACATATTTTAATGGTTAGGTTTTCCCTCAGTTAGCTTGGGCAGCTGTAAATATAACCTGCCCCTTTTGATTTCTCAACTGGCTAGGAAGTTTTAATGTGTGCAACATGAACAATCCCCTCTCCCCCCAAGTTTTTTTAATCACTGTCTAAATAAGTTGGTTATCTAATATACTACACCAGGAATGGCCAGTAATCCTAACAGCCAACACAAAATGAACCAGATCTCACTCCCCTTTAGGGGGGGAGGGAGAAAGAGAAACAGACCCACTGCACCCTAACAAGCATGTCATAAAATACAAAGGGGTTTTAGAAGTTGGAGTGCATCTGCCTTAGAGGCTATAAGCCAACAGACAAGCATGCAAAACTCTAGCAGTTCTAGAACATGACTAATGTTCAGAAGTGGGTGAACAACCAGAGCATTCTGCAAGATCTGCATAATTTGCAGATGCACACTACATCTCTTATCTACTTAAGTAATGTAATAAATAAAGCAACCAAAACAACACAAAGTAATACATACATCATGAATCAATTCGCCTTCCAAAAACTTCACTGGCTTCAGAGAAAGGAGATGGTCCATGAGAAATGTATTGGGGTCAGCCAAACAAGTCACTATGCATTTATGAGCATCATCTCTGGCCTGAGAAGCATTGTCTTCTGTGTAGGTACCCAGCAGTTCGATCATGACTTTAGTAGCCACATCACTGCAACAAAATGGCAAAGAGAACATATTACATATATTTTTGTTTGTAAACACATGGTTCAGACTTAATTTAAAAAAAATAGCAGATAGGATACCGACTTCATATAAAATTACCGCTGGCCACTAAATGAAAAGCACTCTTTTTCTTCAGCATTGCAAGCCTTTGAGATATCAGCAGTCTTATTTCATCTCTCTAGCTGGCCTTCTTTTTCCAGTGTTTGGATATTATTCCTCCATCGTCCTCTTGGTCCGCATCCATTCAGCTCCCACATGTATAAAGCTTTTACCCCTCTGTCATCTGACATTCTCTTAATATGCCCCAGCCATTTCAGGCAACTGGCAGTCATGATGCCAGTCAAAAATGGTGTTTTAACAGATTCAATTTCATTGTTGCTTCTCACTCTCTATTCCCTGCTATCTGCATCTTTGATAGGTCCCAAAATTCATCATAAGACTTCAAAAAATTTTAATAAGTCTTTATCTCTTTTAGTTGTGCTGCAAGTTTCAGAGCAATATAAATTAACCGGTCATAACATTTTCAATATTTTGATCTTGATTTTGGGAGATATAATAAACTTTGACTTTAGGAGATGTTGAAGGGCTTCTCTCAGCATGTTGGAGCAGTTGAAGTTATCACCGAAGTATTTTCCGTTCGTTTGATTTTCCTATTATCATCTTGTATGTTGCCATAATTTATCTTTTCCCCATCCTGTTATCATGTATTCTATCTTATCATGACTGATAACTAATCCATTTTGTGAGCTGCTTCTTTTACAAAAAGCCAGTGTTTTTAGAGTCTCTAGTTCATTATCTCCAACGATATCAATGTCATCTGAATAATGAAGTTTTCTTGTAGTTTCTCCAACAATACACTACTCTAAATTTCCTTATAATTTTCGCTTGGGCCAAGTTGAAATTAAGTGGGGACAGAGCATCACCTTGCTTTAAACCAGAAAACAATCTGACTTTCTGCCTTTACTATATTATGTCTTCCATTCATAGTTTGGTCATGGTAAATAACTTCTTTGGTATTCCAAAAACCTTTTTAGCATTTCTTAGACTGTTTCTATGTGTACTATCATATGCCTTTTTTAAAATCTACAAAAACATTATGTACATCTCTTCTATATTTCTTATTTGCTCGGCTATTTGCTGTAAAATGAATATCTGATCTGCTGATGATCTGTTCTGTCAGAAATCCATTTGGTAATCACCCAATACATCTTTGATGCATAGTTTTAGCAGTACCACTGAGAGTATCTTATAGTTTGTAGCCTGCTAAAGATATATAGCCAATGCCTTGGCTGAAACGGCTTACAGGCAATATACTTCTATTAGCTTTAGTTTATCCCTAACTTTTGCATCATTTAAGCAAAAAATGACAACAGCAAACACATAGAAGTACTACCAAACGGGCAGTTGTAGCAGAAATTTGTTACTGCCTAAACAAAATTTGTATATAAATGTAAATTGGCTGAAACAGCAAACAGAAGCAATTTCGTTAGCCTTGGATGACCAAATATTTGTTTCACCATGACAGTGGTACTGAGTTCACAAAATCGAGATAAACACCGAATGTGCTCTATATAAGCGTTGAAATATGTAATTTTGTTATAGAGGTAATCAGTTATTGTGGTTCAATGGGACATGCGGTTAGTCTCACACCAGCTGCCTTCATTCAAAAAGAAATTGTCCAGTTGCCACTGTCAGGTTATACTTCAGCTATATTAAATGCCATATGGGTTTAGACAAATTCTAAATTACATACAAAGAAAGCAGATCAAGTGGATTTTTATTTTCATTATGTTGACCATAAGTGAAATGGTTTGCCCACTTAGAGAGAATGCCTTGTGACCCCATACCATACAAAGCATACATGGAAAGAGAAGAAGGATGTAGAGCAGGGGGTAGACCAAGAACAATATGGAAGGATAACATCAAAGAAACTCTACAACAGCACGATGTGTCTATGGTCGAGGCAGCCAGAAGAGCTGGAAACAGAACCTTATATCACCTACGACACCCACAGCGGTAAAAGAGGAAGTGAAGAAGAAGACCATATGATTCATTAGTTGCTAATTGGTCTAATCAAATAAAGGTCTATAACTATATGCCTGATTACTTCCGTTTTCAAAATGGTGAATAGCAGCAGAGTTCTTTTTCCGCTAGCTGTAAATTTTCTCAGAATGTTCTGTTTTCTTATCATGGATGCTATTTTATGCGAATTTCCAACGCAGGATACGATGTGTTTTTCGTGGGAGCAGCGGGTTGTTAGGCTTTGTCGGGACAGGATAGTGACCAATAGTTCTGGCAGCCTCGACCATGCTGCCTTCGCAATGTTTCAATTGAGAGCAAACTTGATAAAAGCTGTCCCAAGAAATGAAATGTGTTAACCACTTTTTTATAGGAAGGAATCGACACAGATGGTTAACTCAATGGCTATATGCCATTTGAGCCACAGACATAAAAAAGAATTCTTTACTGCAATGACTAGTTTTTAATTAAATGTATGTGGGTTGAAATGGTCAACAGAAAATGAATTCTGTCAGCCTTGGATGGCCCAAATGTTTCTGTTGCATCAAAGAATTCTATACATCAAAGTTGAGTACAGATTAAAACTCCTGATGCAATAAATTAAAAAATATATTTAAAAAAAAAAAAAACATTTTACAGTTCAACAGCCTAAAATGGATGCTAGAAAATAGAAGTAAAAGATGGCGTGATTCTGACCACATGACTCAAGTGTCCGCAGGTTTGTAATATTATAGGACTAGCAGGAAATGCTCAGCATGCCCTAAGGCAGGGCTTTTAAACTGGCGGCCCGCAGGCCAAATCTGGCCCACCAAGTGGCACGTGGATCACTGCTAGTTGTATTGCATTTATGGTCTTTCTATGCTGTAGATAGGGCTTCTAGCTTGTGACGATCCCCATTTTTGAACATGTTGGCCCTTGAGTCAACTTAGTTGAATTGCCCTGCCCTAAGGTATGTAAAACAGGTTCTCTGTTTACGTACATCCTGATAATGAAATGTGTAAAAGAAAAGGAGCCTTCTCCGCACCTTCAGGCGTATTGGGCATGCAGCACTAGACCTATACACAGACCAATCCACACTCCATGGGTGATGTAGTAAACATAATATTAGCTGCCTTTACTTTCCTGGAATTTACTTAGCACCTATGTAACGCTGGGAGTCAAGGCAATTTTTTTTTTAGTTTGGATTTGATCCCATGGCCTTCAACAAGCAGACAAGTGCCTAGCCGCTACACATGTGGGTTGGCCCCCAATGACGTGTAAATCATTCAATGAAAGTGACTGTGTGGTGAGCTGAGATTTTTATGCAGCATACTCCTGGGAAGTGGTAAAATCTATGACAATGCTTTCATATATAACACACACAGCTATCTTTACACATCGAATTACTTCAGCCTAGTAATATTATTGAAATCTTCTGTAGGAGAAGCATGATTGCCATGACGAGCACCCTGATGACAATGATTCAAATAAGCGATATTAATATTATTGGTCACGGCCACTTGTGCTAATCAAATAACTGCAACAAGAACACACAACAAACTGCAATCAGGTCACATGATAAAAAATGAGCTCGCATTTATTTTGAGACTAAAAGAGGTGTGACCTGATTTAATTCTCTGCTGTCTGTATTTACCATTTCTGTAGTGCAGGTCAGGGGTGGAGGTATGTGTGTGTGTCAGGGTCTGGTGATTCAAGGCCTCACGTTTAGTGTTGTCGCCACCTGCTGCGCAGGTAATCATTTTAGTTTTGCCGCCTGAGCAATGCTAAATCTTACTAAATATTCCTGTGTCTTGAACCGCTCGGCCAGCCATTCCTCATCACAACACTTGAAGTCAAGGCCCCATTAACTATTACACTTAACTCTACCAGACCGCTGGCCCGCTATTACAGGAATTTCCTAACCTGCCGCTAAACCGCTGTCCTTCAATGTCGGGAATTCACGTACTATGACAAAGATGATAATGGGATTTACCCTAGCAGACTAGAAAATAGTACAGATCTTCGTAAATGAACAAGTGAATGATTGATACATAAAGATCTGTTGACACATAAAGTCATTTACAACAAAAGTGATGTTACAAAGTATTAATGTTACAACACACAAAACATTATTGTTACAACACACTAAGTATTAATGTTACAACATAAAAAGTATTAATGTTACAACACACAAAGTATAATTGTTTCAACACTGAGATACTAATCTTGGAACTATTTATCAACAATTAATATTAAGGAAATGTATGTGGGTTGAAATGGCCAACAGAAGATGAATTCTGTCAGCCTTGGATGGCCCAAATATTTCTGTTGCATCATGGTATTCTATACATCAAGCTCAGTAGATTGAAACAGAACTTCTGATGCTATGCCAAGAGCTGATAGGTTGGCAGGATCCCCTATCATTACCAACCGTCGAATTATGAATCATGTTGATGCTATTTATGCCCTCCGAGAGATGGGAAGGGTAATCATCAGTTATTATTGAGGAAATGTATGTGGGTTGAAATGGCCAACAGAAAACAAATTCTGTCAGCCTTGGATGGCCCAAATATTCCTGTTGCATCATAGTAATCTATACATCAAGCTCAGTACAGGTTGAAACAAAACATCTGATGCTATGCCAGAAAAGTGAAACACTTCAACCGTCTGAAATGGATGTGATTCCTGTGTGGGGTACCATGGTGAAACTGGATGTGTTAAGCCAAAGGGCAAGATATAGGAGCCTAGCTAAAACCACAATATGTCATGCCAACCTTTTTAAGGATAAATGCAGAAGAAATAGATACTAGGAAATCTCATAACTGAAGGCAGCTGGAATGATTAAGACATTACTCATTTAACGACCTTCAGTGTACACAAATAGAGAACTAGCACTGATGCACGACACCCTCCAAGGAATATAAATAGGTCCTTTGTTTACTCACAGCCAGATAGTGCAACGTGTCAAGTATTTAGAGATAAGAGACCTGGACTTTCGTTTAGCATTTATAGGACCAGTCATTCAGTAAGAGCAACAAATGAGATAGCTGGCCATCTGATGAGAATACCCTTGGTACCAACTGACACAGAGAGTCACACAAAGTTGCCAGGAACCACCCCTAACTGATTGCCTTTTACTATATGCATGATAAGGTGTAGGTGCCCACAGTAGGTTTTTTTGCCCCCCCCCCCCAAATGGGGCCCCCGAACCTACATGCGGCGTCAGGTCAACACAAAGCAATTATCAACATAAGTGATGTCACAAAGTATTAATGTTACTGCAACTACTGCAGTACAGAGCTTGGAACTATTTAATCATCAGTTATTATTGAGGAAATGTATGTGGGTTGAAATGGTCAACAGAAAACAAATTCTGTCAGCCTTGGATGGCCCAAATATTTCTGTTGCATCATAGTAATCTATACATCAAGCTCAGTACAGACTGAAACAAAACATCTGATGCTATGCCAGAAAAGTAAAACACTTTAACCGTCTGAAATGGATGAGACTGCTGTGTTTGGGTACCATGTAGAAATTGGATGTGCCAAAACGCAGATATAAGAGCTTAGCTGTAAACCACAATATTCCACCCTTCTAAGGGCAAATACAAAAGAAATAGATACAAAGAAATCTCAAACAAAGGCAGCTGGCATAATAATGATCACATCACCTATTTAACGACCTTTGGTGTACACAAAGTATGAAATGCCTACAGAACCATCTAAATCAAATTAGTAACAAAGGAGAGGAATATAATATGAAAATAAACACTACGAAGACAGAGTCAGTGGTGATAGGAAGACAGAAAGACAATTTAAAAAATAAAAATAACACCTCAAGACAGAGGAAATTGAGTATTTTGGAGCGATTTTTACATCCGACGGAAAACAGGACAGAGAAATTAGCAAGTAATGGGGCAACTATATCCCCTGTTGACACACATGCAGATAACCCAGAGTACTAAAGTGAATCTTATCAGAACTATTTTTTGGCCAACACTATTCTATCAGTGCCAAACGTGGACACTTACATCATCCAATGAACGTAAAATTGTGACAACAGAGATTATATGCCCTAGAAGAGCTGCAGGAGTTTCAAGGAAAGACAGAATACAAAATCAGGAAATCAGACGAATGCTAGGAATAAAGCCAGTCTAACAGGTCATCAAAGAACAACAAATGAAGTGGTTTGGACACCTAACATGAATGCTCTGGTACTATCTGCCACAGCTAGCCACACTAAAGCGTTACACCAGGTATAAAACGAGTGGAAGACCTCAGAAAATGTGGAGTGATATCATTAGATAAAGCCTCACAGAAATGAACAAAATAGTGCTCTTGACAGAGCTCATCAACGGATGTTACATCTCTCCCCCGCACTTTGATGAGATACAAGGTGGAAGAGAAGAAGAAGTGTACACAAATTCAGAACTAGCACTGTCGAACACCCCTCAAGGAATATAAAAAAGGTTCTTTGTTTACTCACAGCCTGATAATGCAACGTGTCAAGAATTTACACATGTTTAGCATTGGAAGAACCAGTCATACAGTAACGGCAACAAATGAGATAGCCATCTGATGAGAATACCTGCGATACCAACTGACATGTCACAAAGTATTAATGTTACTACAACACTGGGACACAGCTTGGAACTATTTAATGATTGGATATTATTAAGGAAATGTATGTGGGTTGAAATGGCCAACAGAAAACAAATTCTGTCAGCCTTGGATGGCCCAAATATTCCTGTTGCATCAAGGTATTCTATACATCAAGCTCAGTATAGATTAAAGCAAAAAGCCTGATGCTATGCCAAAAATTTAAAAGTCTGCGGGGTTCGTAGCCAAATTCGCCAACATTTTTCAAGGGTTTTCACAGATTTTTTCAAGGTATTTTAATTCTGTTCAAGGACATACTAGGCATATGAAGTACTATTTCCGCGCATACACACGTGGATAAATTTGCATAGCCAGTGTTTTAACATTTTTTTTTAGACTTGACAGAGGGCAGCAAACTAAAGTCCTGTCTGCTCTAGACCTGTAAATGAAGGGGAGAGAGAAAGAGAGAGAGAGAGAGAGAGGCAGAGAGCCAGACAGAGAGGCAGACAAATACAGAATGAAGGACAGGGAGGTAGAGAGATGGGCAAATGAAGAGAGGAGGAAGAAGGAATGGAAGGAGGAAAAATATTATAAAGAGAAGAGACAGGCAGAGGAGAAGATGTGAGCAGAGAGACGTGTCGACAGAGAGGAAGTGATGGTGAGAGGCATACAGACATAAAGTGCAGTGACAAAAAGAGAGGGGATTGGGGAGGGGTGTGGGCAGATAGAGAGACAGCGTAAAAATATATAATTTTTAACAAATATAACACAAAGAAAAAACCGCCAACCTCATGTTGAAATCACCCACTTCTACAACCATACCAGTTTCATGTGTACTCGATACAATCACTATGAAAAGTCATGTGGCAGCAAATATAGTAAATGTGGGGAATGGGGTGAGAATAATCTCTAGGACAGCAGGGGGCAGGAGGGACTGCAAGAGAGAACAGAGTAAAGAAAGGAAGGAGAAGAAAAAAGGAGAACAGATGGATAAAAGAAGAGATTAATTTAACATGCAACTCAGAAATGTTGGACATCACACAAATGAGGCTACATCTCGTCCCCCCAAAAAAATAGCCAGTCATCCTAACCTTTTCCCTCAAAGTCGGAGTGTATCTGCCGGTGATGAGAACTGCACACAAATAAAATGGATGTACAAGCAAAACTCAGGTCCAGGTAAAAGCCAAAAGTCTAAATGGACGAAAAACCAGGACTTTCCATCAGAATTCACAGCCGGTAAACAAGAAGAAGAAATGTTGTTACTAAAGCCCATTCTGCCGAATATAGAATGGTTCCACTTAGGTAAAACAGTCTGAGAAAGAGAGTATACAAAAGTACATAAGCAGTAGAAACTAAGTAAAGAATATAGCGCACTGTAAAGTATACAAAAATTAATGCTGAGATATACAATTTGGCAGAGGGGGAAAAAAAGGTGCAGGTATATTGTGAGGGACTGGTAGAGAAAGTTCTCTTTAAAAGGTTGTATGACATTAACTAACCACAGAATTAACCTTTGATTTCTCAAAGAATAAGGTTGTTGCAAACTGAACAAATATCCTGAAACTAGGTAATCTCAAGTTCATGAAATGTATGTGGGTTGAAATGGCTAACAGAAAATTTATTCTGTCAGCCTTGGATAGCCCAAAAATTTATGTTGCATCGTGGTTATCTATACACCAAGCTTGGTATAGTTTTGAAAACACAAAACACCTGATGCTGTAAAAAAATTTATATATAATTGATTTAGAAGTAATTGCAGTGTGTTTACAGCAGAGCTGCTATATTTCCACATGTCAGCTGGAACATCCAACTTCTGGTGTGTTAACCAGTTAGCCTGCCCAGATAATATTCAGTGGCCATATGTGTCTACCAAGGCTCAAAGAATGCTGCTCCAGAGTAAGTGTTGAATTTGTCAATACTGTGGCAGTGAGGCATGTGGTGCTGACTGGGTGTAAAGCCTGTGTGGCACTTGGGCGATGTGGTCAACAACATATCAAGACACCTTTATTTTCAAGGACATTTCCTAGTACCAATTTTAGACATGGCTGACTAAAAGTCCTAAGTCAGTTCTAAACATCAGCTTGATGTTTATCTGAACCCAAGATCTGTTGGCTTGCAGGCAAGCAAACAGTTAACATTCTGATAAACATATAAACATCATCTCAAGTGTTATTCTCATAATTAACTAACCGCATGTTGCAGGCTGTCAGGGATTCATGAAGGGTCCTGTATAGCATCTGAACTTTTGCTGAGCTGATCTCCCACAAGCTGATCCACCTTTTGATCTGGGAAACAAAACCACGATCTGAACAATTTGCTATTATGTTTTATATATTGTTCAATTTAAAGCAAGCAATCTTTCAAAGAGTTTAGGCTTTAAAAAAAAATCATTTCAATAAGCATTTCTGTCAGGTTTTTCTTCCATATCTTTGAACCTTGCCCCTTGTTGTAGCAGTAGAAAGGATTTAGGCTCCCATTAATCCTAAGACAAATATTCTGAAAGCAGCAAAACTACACACAGGATTTCCCTATAGGGCTGCGGGGCCTTAGCCTAAAAAAAACAAGACCCTTGACTATTTTGGGGAAAGGAAGAGTGGGTTGGGGAGAAAACCGCCTTACTTTACAATGACCGTGAATTTTTCTAAGAGGATAATGGGGTCTTCAAGGTAAAGTTGGTGTCATATCCACTATCACTTCTTCTTCGTTCACCGACTGTGAATTCCGGCGGAAGGTCCCGGTTAATCGTCCGCTTGGACTTTTGGCTTTTACCTGGACCTGAGTTTTGCGTGTACAACCGTTTTATTGTTCCCTGCTTCATAGGCAGCTGTACTCTGACTTTGAGGGATCCACTTTCACTGAAGCTACAGGAAAATTTGATGGCACAACTTTTGAAAAGCCTTAGTTTGCAAGGTAGCACAACCTGCTATTTAGTTAGTAAATATATTCACATCCTGACCTCCTGAATGCTGCAAACACAACCAACAGGGTTATGTAATTGTAGAAAAGTCAGTGTTAACCTAAAACGATAATATCTACAACCGGTTTATCATTTCTTATACAAAAGGCATATACTTTTATGTATTACTTACTTTATCTAAATCAACTGGTACTCCTGACAGCAAGTCATTTTGCCCTGCCAGCCTAACCATGCTGCAGAGAACAACATATCGAACGCTGGCATCTTCCTCTAGCCCATAGAATAGGTTGCTCAGCCTGGAATTCACACAAAAAAAGGTGAACAGAAGAAATTTCAATGCAAATATTTACAGAGATTCACAGTTGCTTTAATATCCCCAGGAACCCTGAGTATTAACTCTTCAGTTACCAGGGTGGGTTCTGGGGGCCAATAGAGCAACTGCCATTTGTTATTAAGGTGTGCTGGACTATTCTTAATTTAAAAAACTTTCTCCCAGGTCAGCTAAAAAAAAAAAAGCCAATGATCCGTCTTAGCTAGAGGACAAATGTATTTTTTTAAAAAAAAGGGCACACAACCATATTTACACATAGCCACACAAAAAAATGTCAATATTTCCAGTTTTTGTCTAAAACACTAAGACACATTATTGTGTGTTTCTACTGCTGAAGTATAATTTATGCAGCAATCTAATAGCATAAAGCAATCAAGTCCTTTGGCTAGCTGTCTTTGATTAACTGCCAAAATATTTAAACACATCTCTGCTCCTTTTGGCTGCCAGTGACTAGAAAAATTTGGGAGCTAGTGTTTCTACGGGATGAAGTAGTTGGTACCACTCCAACTTCTTGAAGCATGCATGGCACATTACATTATTATCATTCTTTGCCTTGCTAAGGGCCTAGGAAACACAGGGACTGACAGCTGCAGCAATAAAGTCAAACTGTATTATCCTCACAATGCCAGACACTAAATACATTCATAGATTAATTTATGGTTCGTATACATTTCAAAGATTTCTACTCCAATGTACAGACTTTGGGATTAAGAACATTCCAGTTACAAAAGCCTAGGAGAGAAACAGATTTACTTACATTCTCAGTCTCAGGGCTGCACGTTTGTCTCCCTCTGGCAACTTTCCCACCTTCTCACAAAACAGAGTGACCACACTCTCCGCTTCTTGTACTGGCACAACCAGTAACAGGGAGATGATGCCATTAAATACCATCTCAATCTCTGCAAATATAACATTAAATAAACACCATCTCAATGTGTTTCAAAAATAAACATCTGCAATGATGACCTCGGCTCCCATGACAACACAGCTTGAAATGGTTACTGGTAAATGTTCTAGGAAGCGAAAGTGGTCTACATAATATTAACCATTTTACCCACCAAGACCCAACTGGTCCCTTACTTAATTTACAATTTTAAAATGTTGATAAAGATGCCTCATAACAAATCTTTAATATTTAAAAGACAATTTTTCTTGTAGTTATTTGTACTGTTTTCAGAAGAACATTCCAGATCAGGGCTATTAAATCAAAAAGACTATTTTTACAGTGCAGCTGAAACTGGTCCGTTGGCCACCTGCTAGGCCTCAGCTGGTCAAATTTGGTCCACTAGTTGAACAGCTCCATTCTAGGAACAATGCACATACACCCATTATCATTTTGACACATTTTAGGGATAATTGTTTTAAGAGGAAACCTTACTTTACAAAAATAATGCGTACCAGGCAGTAGAAAACCGCTGGCCAGACGAAAAAACCAACAAAAAGTAGGACACAACTGTATAGAGTTCCAGGAAATGACAGGTCTGAGAGATGTGGTAGATACACGAGAATAAAAAGAGGGGGTGAACAATGTTTAAATGAACAACTGATGTGTGTGTGTAATAAAAAGATACAATCGGCACAAAAAAAGTCTCTGCAATTATGTTGTGAGAAAGACCAATCAGTTATGTGTCTAGACTAGACTAAAGCAGCAAACAGTGATTCTTAAACAGTGGTTTGCTGTGTGGCCCATCGTGTTTCAAGTACAAGTTGATGTACATTTGCAGTGAACCAAGGAATTTCTCCTAAATTTGTCTGTATGACAACAAGATGTTTAGGTAAAGAGTGTGATAGAGAGACTTGCGAACGATTCCAGACGTTGTCAAGAGACTCGAGACAGGTGGACTGGATGTGTTGTTAATAAGCATTATTTGAAAACAATGAATTCCAGAAAAAGAAGAGTAGGAACTGTGTTTGTCCTGTTTTGACCATCTCTAAGGACACTGAGTTCTGCAGTGTTGCGCCAGTACACTTCCCTCAGGAGACAATGTAAAGGCGAAGGAGAGGGAGGAAAGGGGGGGGGGGGGGGGTTTCAGTGCAAACATCATCAAGTTTAGTGTTGTCTGGTGCAGACTCATGTGATTCTGCACATCTTACGACCGACAGTGTGTATCAATTCATGTGTTGCTAACTGTCATTCCGTTTGATCTGTTATAGCTTCCCAATGAGGGCTCCGGGTTCCCTATTTTGGCAAAAAATAACAAGAACAGACCTACTGCACCCTAATAAGAAGTAACTAATTAGGCATTTGCTGAAGCTGGATGTGCTCGTTGGAAAGTTGCTGAGGTCCGTGTGTAGGTTCCTGGGCCACCTTGTTGGGAAAACAGACCCACTGCATGCCTAAAAGCATGTCGCAGGAGTCAACTAGCTGGGGGTTTCCTTTTTTGTGAAAAAAATGTGCATGTAACATTCAGTTTCTGGAGCAGGGCTAGAGTCCAGAAGTGGGTGAACAAACAAAAAACTTTCCGCTGGAGTTTAAAGCCAGTAAATGCGAAGAAGAAGAAAGTTGCTGATACTGTCGCCAAGCTATGAACCACAAGACACTACTAATTGCCATTTTAAGGGCAAACATAAAACAGGAAGATGCAATATATATTCTCTGCATACAACGTGGACCGCGCTAGCACAGTCGATACGAGACTCGCTTTCAATTCCAGCTGCTACTCTCTGCAGCCCACGTTCAGTTCCCAGAGCCTTTAGGAAAGGGGTACTAGAGTTACGTGCAGAGGGTGACACAGGCAGACAGTTTCTTATCAGCTGTCTGTACTGGTGGCAGAGCACTTATGGTTTTTAACCGTGTGAATTGACGCTGGTTCACATCTCCCAACTTTTTTTATTTAACCTTTACCAAGAAAGGCTCTAGGTGTTAAATATTTGTTGTGGGGGAAAAAAACCATTGAACCTAGCAACCTACTTAGAATACACAACAAACTAGACCTTTAGTGGCATAAACCAAGAAAAAGTAGGATGGGCTGAGGGGCGTGATTTTTTGTTGAGAGCCTATGTTCTAATTCGGGGGGGGGGGGGGGGGGGGGGGG